TTATCGCTATGGCAACCAGATATGGCCCAGCTGTTTGTTAGCTTGTCTCTGATTGGCTGTGCCACTGACTCCGCTCCCTCTCTCTGCAGATCTCTGATTGGCTGAGCCCTCATCAGGATGTCTCTGGAAAAAGACCCGGTCAGACTAAGCCCCGCCTTCCCTCCCCCTGTCAGCCTATCAGAGCAGCTGGATAAGCCCCACCCTCCCACCCATCCTAAAAATGGCCACCAGCTCCTCCTGCCCCCCCCTCCTCCTCCTGCAGCCAATCAGAGGATCGGGAAGAGGCGATTCTCTGTGGGCGTGGGCTTTAAAGGCGTGGCCAAACGCCGTCGCCGTGCCAACAGCGAGAGCCAGGCAGAGCCGGTGCTGCCGAGTCACTTCCTGTTGGGAGGGAACATCTTTGACCCGCTGAACCTGAACTCCCTGCTGGACGAGGAGGTCAACAGGTGGGGGAGGGGCAGCGGGGCAGTTTCAGGAGGTTCTGGTAGAGCAGGAGGCGATGGAGAACTAGGGTCTAATCAAAGTCCAGGGAGAGAATGTCCACAAGGTTCTAACCCTGAGTTTCTGTTAGCCTAGCTTAAATTAGCCTAGCCTAGCTTAGCATGGCTAGTGCTAGCTCAACAGACTGATGTTTCCATTGGCTGTCTGAACAAAGGTCAAAGGTTAACAAGCAGAACTTTGACCTAATGGCAGCTGATCATCTGGACCAGAACGCAGGTCTCTGGGTCCATCAGTAGAACTTATCCAGGCTCCATGACCGGGTCAAGCAGAACCGGCCCAAACTTTGCTGCCTCATGGGGGCTATGAAGAACCGGACGGGTTCTGGTTGGTTCTGATCGTTTGGGTTCCACCAGAGAATCCGATCGGTTCTGAGTTCAGGTTCTAGAAGGAAAAGATGCTTTCAGGAGCATCAAGGAAAGATCAGCTGCTGGTGGTTCTGGTTCTGGACCTGGTGGTTCTGGTTCTGGACCTGGTGGTTCTGGTCGACCATCATTAGTTCAGTCCCGTTGATGTCTCGTGGACAGCTCAGTGTTCTCCCTCCCCCCCTCAGGGCGACCAATCAGGAGACGCCGCGCTGCTCCCCCCTGCCGTCCCGCAGCAGAGACGCCGTGGAGATCCTGGTCCCCCGTGACGTCACCGACCCCCTGAACCTGAGGGGGGAGGACGGGGACGCTGCCGCTGTCCTGCTGTCCCCGCTGAAGTCCCGGAGGAGACACCGCTACCGACAGCATGGGGGCGGAGGGGAGAAGGAGGAGACGCCCGCCAGGCTGTTCCCGCCCTCAGCTGGACCCTCAGGTAACACCTGCTGCAGTTCCTCTGGGCTCCACTGAGGGCGCTGTCCTCTGGAGACGCTGTCCTCTGGAGACGCTGTCCTCTGGGGACGCTGTCCTCTAACGTGTCTCTCTTCCAGTTCCTGCGTCTCCTCTGTCCTGTGAGCTCAACACCTCCATCACCTGCCGGGACGATGTAGCTCCGCCCCCCATTCTGCCACGCAGACACACCCACCCCCCGCCTGGGAGCCGCCGCCGCCGCACCGCCTCCACCAGGTCGGCTGATGGAAGCGTTACCGTGGAAACCACAAAGCTGCCAGCCAAGTTCCAGACGCCACTGGTGGGAGGGGCTAAAGCCAGCAGGTGGGTGTGGTGTAGAGCTGCGTTCTGATTGGTCAGTCTGTACAGACCTGCGTTCTGATTGGTCCGTGGGGTCATGTGACCTCCCTGTCTCCCCCTGCAGGTGTGGAGGTCCTGGCCTTGGCTCCGCCCCCACCTCAGAGATTAAAAAGAACCACCAGCGCTATCAGCATGGGAACCACTGCCGTTACTATGGCTACCACGGTTTCTACGGCGACAGTCACGAGGGACGGGTGGGGGCGGAGCCTGACCCGCGGCTCTGCCTCCTAGAAGCCGATTGGTTCAGAGACCGGACGGTTCTAGACGTGGGCTGCGGCGCCGGTCACATGACCCTGGCCATCGCCAGGAGGTTTAACCCCGCCCACATCCTGGGGGTGGAGCTAGACGGGCGGCTGGTCCACGCTGCCAGGCAGAACGTCCGTCACTTCCTGTCACATGACCTGGTGGCAGCACACAGACAGGAAGTGATGCGGGCGGCGCCCCCCCTCCCCGTCTCCTTCAGGGTCAGTCGGGGTCCTCTCTCGGCTCCGCCCCTTCTGCCGCCATCATCATCCTCCTCCAGGTTCCCAGACAACGTCACCTTCATCCAGGTGAGTCTGTAGGCGTCCTCCGTACTGCCCGATGGAAAATACAGCGTTAAACCTGTTTACCTGTGGAGCATGTTGGTCCCACCTGTACTCCGTTAACATCCATGGTAACCTGTCCGACTCCGCCCACAGGGCGACTACGTGTCTGAGGGGGAGGCGTGGCCTGGGCGGGGCCAGTATGACGTCATCCTGGCTCTGGGCGTCACCAAGTGGGTGCAGCTGCAGTCGGGTGACCGGGGCGTGGTCCGGCTGTTCAGACGGGCCTATCAGAGCCTGGCGCCGGGCGGAACGCTGATCCTAGAGCCGCAGCCCTGGAGCGGCTACGCCCGCAGCAACAGGGTGAGGAGGGGGGAGACACCTGGTTCTGATGGGTCCAGAGGTTCTGACCTGGTTCTGATGGGTCCAGAGGTTCTGACCTGGTTCTGTTTGATCCCAGGACTCGATGCTGCGTCACTTCAGAACTCTGAGGCTCCGACCAGAACTATTCACCTCCCTGCTCACCGACACCATCGGCTTCATCTCCTACAGACCGCTCACACACACAGGTAACACACACATCCAGCTAGCTGCTAGCTCCCCTGCAGTCTATACAGGTTGATCATCATTCTCGTTGATAATAAGTTATCATATTCATTCTATAACATGAGTGTCTCTGCGTTCCCTCTTTGGTTCCTCGCTACGGCTACATTAGCGTTGGCGTTAGCACAGCAGGCCTGAAGTCTCACTTACAATTCCTGGCTGAAATCTGGTTTTGTTTCTGGTCGTTCGTGATAAAAAACCCCAACTGCAAAGCTGAAGATGGCCGCCGCAGCGCTCTGTTTGCAGCAGTAAAGATGGCCGCCGCAGCGCTCTGTTTGCAGCAGTAAAGATGGCTGCCATCTCTGGATGGATTGTAAAGTTGTTGAGAGCGACAGCATGATCAGCAGGAAGCTGATTAACAGAAAACTAACAGCTAATAGCAGCAGCCTTTAGTGGAGTGCTGACTGCAGCCTCTGACCCGGTTCTGTTTGGATGTTGGACCAGGAGTGGTTGGTTGGGATGTGATGCGTTCACTGACTCAGACTGTTTTCATCCCTTTATTATTTTCAGACGTTCATTTAGAGTCTGTCTTCTTCTGTTGCTGAATTCTGACACTTGTTGGATAAAATGTGACGTTCTGCCTCCAGACGTTTTGAGAAATATCGGATTTAGTTCCACATCTGGAAGAGGAACAGATCGGATTTATTGTTGGAAAGATCGGAATCGGCCGATCTGCGGAGGAAAAGTCGTATTTGGTTCAGATTCTCCTGCTGTGAACGTTAAACACTTCCTGTCAGACCAGCAGCAGCTGTATGTAAACTAATGACCCGTCGTTACCCAGCATGCAGCCAGAGTGAATATTGTGACATCACAGCATCTGAACAGTGAACCTCCTCTGATTGGTCGAGTCGCTCATGTGACCTCACCTGTTTCCTACCTGTTTCCAGGTAACCAGAGACCCATCTACCTGTTCCACAAGGGCTCCACCCACAGGAAGTGACATCACTGATGGATCTGCTTGGACAGCAGAGCCTCAGGAGGAAGTGATGTCAGACTGCACTGAGCATGCTCAGTGGGACCTTTTGGAGCGGTCAGGTGACCTCACTGTAATTGAATGTCAACAACAGACAGGAAGTGACTGATCTTTTCAAAATAAAACCTGATTCTTCTTGGTCTTTTTCATAATAAAGTGAGTTGAGCTGCTGCTGTGTTGGTTCTGGTTCTGATCCGGTAGTTTGGGTCACACATTAAATAAAACCAGGAGATAAAATGTGTCCGACCCGGTTCAGTGGTTCTGAGTGAGTCAGATGAATACATGACTAGTGGCTCTGCAGGAGGAAATGAGGTCCGGTCCGGATGAGGAGTCCACGGCGCCCCCTGGTGGACGCTGATGGACGAACAGCAGTAGGATGGACAGAAGGTAAGACACTAAACCATGTCCAGGTGTGTCCTCAGCTAACACCATGTAGCTAACAGCGTATGGCTAACAGAATGTTGGTAACAGCATGTAGCTAACGGAAGGTAGCTAGCAGCATGTGGCTAAAATCAGGTAGCTAACAGCATGTAGCTAACAGCGTGTGCAGCATGTGGCTAACATGCAGGTGGCTAACAGCATGTAGCTAACAGCGTGTGCAGCAGGTCGTTTATGTGAGTCAGGGACAATCAGCCCAGAACAACATTCAGTATTAATCTGTTATCCATCTACAGAAACTCTTTAATGAGTTACATTTTATTTCTGTTATGGATCAATTATTCTGGAACTGATTCTATTAGATTGGACCTGATTGGGTCTGCAGCCTGATCAGAACCGATCGGCTGCAGACTGATTTTCTTCAGTTCGGTTCCTTCAAACCAGCCTGATCCTCTGGCGCCCTCTGGTGGAGACGGAGCAAGACAGCAGGATGGTTCTCCTCTGGGTCGGCCCGGTTCTGATCCGGTTGTTGCTGGGAGCTGGTTCTGACCCGAAGCAGAGAGCAGACTTTACATCCAGCACCAGAACCTCCCGGTCCAAACAGAATTTGAGGACAGAGATGGAACCAGGTCCACCGGGTCGGGTCCTGGTTCTGTCTGCTGTTAGGACATTCTGGACTCCAAAGGTTCTGATCCACTGAGTTCCTGCAGAACTGACCTGATTGGACCATGTTCTGTTCAGAACCTGTCCGGTTCAGTGGACCAGAACCACGCAGTCAGTTCCGCTCTGGTCCACATGGGGGCGCTGTGTGTGACCTCTGACCTCTTTATGCAGATAAAACAGGAACTTTGATGGATGTAAATATTTTTATTAAATCATCAGATTATTGATTATTGATCATCTAACATGAGCTTCAGTAACAGCAGCTCAATCAACTACAAGGTTATTATAAAGGTGAACAGCAGGGGGCGTGGTCTCTTCTACAGGGCCAGCTCTAGCCCCGCCTCATCACCATGGAAACCAGGAAGGTGAAAGGTCGTTCCATCTGCCCCCTCCAGGCTGTCGTCTGTCAGAGAATGAAGGTCGTTCTTCTCATCTTCCTCGGCTTCACTGGCGTCTCCACCTGTTGATAGCAGCGTAGCTCCGCCCACTGGGCCCAAGGACACGCCCACTTTCTGGCTGCTCAGATGGAGGAGTGACGTCTGCAGCATCACCTGGGGGGAGACAAGATGGTGGGCGGAGTCAGAAGGGGTGGAGGATGGATGGGGTTATGGATGGGGTGGACTCATGTGGGGTTAAAGGTCGATGCCGAGTTGCAGTTTGACAGCAGACGTCGCCTCGTTAGAGAGCTGCATTCTGATTGGCTGATGAGGCTGAGAGAAGCCATGTTGATAAAACACCTGATCTTGTCCTCTGTCCGTCAGACTGGTGGTGCTGGTGTTACTGGGAGGCAGCAGCAGCTCTGAGCTCTGACACACACACACACACACACACACACAGCCGGGTCAGCTGACCTTTCTACAGGAAGTGATCTCTAAGTGAAGACGCCTCACCTCCTCTGAGTCCACCTGCTCCACCGCCTGCAGGAAGTGACATCATCAGATCAGAGGCAGACAGACAGGATGTCACACAACAGATTTATGTCCTCTGAGGACAGCAGGACGTCCAACAGGGAGCGGACCGACAAGGCTGTAAATCCCACCTCATTATTGGGGAGGGGGGGGTCGGCAAGGTTAAAGTTAAATGTGACATAAAATGACCAAAAATAACTAGTAAGTAGCAATAAATAACCAAAGTGTTTTTCTCAGTCAACAACCTGCTGAGACCCAAAGAGTCAAATTAAAACTCAAATGTTTAGATCTGAGTTTGGTTCAGAGTCACTGATCTAATCTCTGCTACAAAAACCTAAGGTTCTAAATAAAAACAAGTTTTAATAAGTAACTCCACTTAATAAAATTACTCGTAAATATTGATTTATTGCAGTGGCTCTCAATACAAGTCATGTGTTACTGAAATTATAACAAGTTACTTTAAACTTTTGTTTCTTTTTTCATGTCCTGGATGGCTGAGAACCCAAATATGTAGTAAATTAATATCTTGAAGAATCATAACTTAAACTTAAGGCTCAGTTTTCTAGAAAAATATTCTAAAGGCTGTACGTGGAAGATGGTAAGAAATAAAGACAAACTTTATTATGTTTTACTGCCAGCTGCAGTCGCCCCTCTGCTGTCGGCTCCCATACTGAGCTGTTAGCTAATGCTAACGCTCAGCCGCTAAAGTTTCAAACTCTTATTAAAGTAAAACAGAGACAAATAAAACTGAAATATTGTCTGCCTTCGACAGAAAAAGGAGCTTAGTCTATGAAAGCAATGTAGCAGTTTAGCTAGTTTTGATTTCCAAAATTCGGGGGGGGGGAGGGCGATTTACGCCCATGGGATCCGGTGTGTGTGTGTGTGTGTGTGTGTGTGTGTGTGTGTTTGTGTGTGTGTGTGTGTGTGTGTGTGTTACCGTGTCGTCCAGCTGCTGTCGGTCCTTCAACAGTTGAAACGTCTGTGAAAACAGTCGACATTTATTTACTGCTAGTAGTGAAGCATCTCCCTCGTCGTAGATCTTTGATCCTCTTCCTGTTTCTCTAACTTGTCATGTATAGCTGCTGCTGAGCATTATGGGTAATGTAGTTATATGTGGGGTTGATGTAACTCAGGACTGGTTCTGGTTCTTACCATGGACCTCTGGCTGGACTCTGAGAAGTCTGATGATGAAGAGGAGGAGGATGAAGAGGAGGACGATGTCCTCTGCTGAGGGACAGACGGGGCGGCGGTGACCTGGAGACAGAACCCAGCAGCACTGTGATGGGTCGCCTGGTTCTGGTTCTGGACTGAATCGGGTCAGCTAACGGTTCTGGTGACTCCGCTGGTCTTCAGGGGACAGACATGAAGGACATGAAGTCACCACCCCAAGGTGGACCTGGTTCTCCTGGTTACCATGGGAACCAGGGAGCAGAACTGCTGGTTCTGACTCTCCATGTTTAATCAGTGATCCGTAGAACATGTGGAGATGGACCACCAGAACCACCAGAACCACAGTGGAACCTCTCAGTCTGACAGGATGTCCTCAGGTCCGTCCCCTCTAAGGTCCGGTTGTCTAAGGTTCTGGTCAGTCCGGTTCTCTCCTCTCATAATCCTGAAGCCTTTCCGTCCTGTTGGACTCTTTTGGGTCTTAAAGCTCCACATCTGGACCAGAACCAGAGTCCGGTTCCCATCAGAACCTTCTGTCTAAAGCCTTACCGCAGTTTGGGCCACTTGCTGCTGCAGAACCATCAGAACCAGGTCTCCATGTTTCCCAGGAAGCTGTTCGAAGACAAACACGGGTCACTGATCCGGTTCGGTTCTGATAGAACCCATCATCAGGTCCAATCTTACAGGAGCAGCCTGGTTCTGATCCAGCAGGCTGAGGAGGATCAAACACGTCCACATGCTGGTCCGATCCGGCAGCGGCTGCTCCAAGATCAGGGACGGGTCCAGGTTCTGGATGGGTTCTGACTGGGTCTTCTGGTTCTGGATGGGTTCTGACTGGGTCTTCTGGTTCCGGATGGGTTCTGACTGGGTCTTCTGGTTCCGGATGGGTTCTGACCGGGTCTCCTGGTTCTGGTCTCTTATTGTGCTGAACAGGAAGTGGGCTGTGGTCATGTGACCCGCGGTTCCGCCCCCCTCCTCCAGCCCATCGACCTCAATAACAGGCTGATTTACGGCCCGGTTCTGGTTCTGGTGTTGCTTCATGTCTGAGGGGAACCGCAGGAAGCCCTGTCATCAGAACATTCCTGGGATTACTCCAGAACCGCCTCCATTCCTGGTCAGAACTTTGTCCTTAGCTACATGTTCACACAGGGCCCGGTTCTGCTGGAGGAGGAGCGGAACCTCCCATCAGAACCTGGACTGGTTCTGGTAGGAGACGGACCCAGTGACCCGGTGACATGATCGATATATTTGATAGAATAGAGCCACCACTGTTCTGACCTTCCCTGGTTCTGTTAGGCCCACAACCAGAACCAGAACCTGTGGAGCGCACCGATCCCAGCTGATCAGAACCAGCTGCAGGATGTGACCCGGTTCTGATGAACTGGGCTCAGACGGCTGGAGGTTCTGTAGGATTCTCCTGAGCAGCTTTTGGACCAGGCCAAGAGGTTCTGATCAACTGTTCATGGTTATCCTTCATAATTGGACCCAGGAGTATCAGAACCAGAACCATTCATGTGGAGGATCCGCGTTCTGAGGCCCGGTCAGAGATCGGACCAGAACCAGCCGCTGTTTGGGTCAGAGTTCTGTTCTGGCATTGGGTCGGATTATCCTGCCGACCCAAACAGCAGCGGAACATCTGGAGGCGCCGACCCGGTCTGAAGGTTCTGGACCAGAACCAGCAGCTCAGAGGAACCAGAACCTCTGGGCCAGAGGAGGTTCTGCCGGGCCTCATCTGGACCAGGAGATTACCGAGTTAGTCCAGAGTTGACCTTTGACCTGTGACATCATCACCAGTAGCCTTTCTGCAGCCGGACCGGACCGGACCGGACCAGAACAGGATAGATCCAGTCCATCCATCAGAACCAGAACCAGGAGGATTGGTCCGGACCTCATCTCCAGAACCAAGAACTGCTCCAGATGTTAAAGGTTCTGTTGGGTCAGAACCGCCGATCAGCAGGAGACGTTCTACCAGAACAAAGAACTTTAATCGGTTCTGCTCAGCCCATTTGGACTCTGACCCGGTTCTGCTCAGACTGGACCTCTGAGGTTCTGAAGCATCAACAGTTAACGGGTCAAGAACCACAGAACCAACTGGACCGGTCCAACGTCACTTTATTAAACACAGAACAACTCAATAAATACAGCAATCCTGACCCGGTTCTGCTGACCCGGTTCAGCTCCATCCAGTGTTCTGGTCCAGATCCAGACTGTTCTGACCTTGGAGTGACTCTGGTTCTGAAGAACTGAGGGAAGCGGGTCAGGAGTCGGGTCAGAACCAGAACCGGTCAGGCGGCCCGTGGGCTGTAGTACGGCAGGGTGAGAAGCGGGTCAGAACCAGGACCAGAACCAGAACCGGTCAGGCGGCCCGCGGGCTGTAGTACGGCAGGGAGCGGATGAAGGAGTCCAGTCTGGTTCCGAACAGCTCGCTGTCCAGAGGCTGGCAGGACGGAACCAGAGGGTTCTTCACCACCAGGTCCACATAGAGCTGCAACACAGACGGGTCGGTCAGAACCTGGAACTGGACCAGAACCAGAACCGTTCTGGACCTGCCATCAGAACTGGAGATGAACTGATCTGATATCTGCTTTGGTTCCAACATAGAAAAACATTTCTAGATCAGGAATCTGTGACAGTGAGCTGATCCATGAGGCTGATCTACGTAGTCTAGTTCTATGCTCTGTGCTGATGTTGATTAATTGATACAGATATATGCCCTATTATATATTTGTGCACTTATCCAAACTTTAATGAGATGAATTTAAGAATCATGAAACATTAAATTTTACTTTATTTTGAAAAGCCGATACCATTGATGCGTTTCCTTTCCTAACAGCGCCTCCTGCTGTCAGATGGTGAGGAGGGAAAACCCAGAGCTGATTATCCTACCGGTCTTTATCGGCCATTCACAGCTTTATGTTGGTTTTGATCAATAAGTTTGAAGTTAGCACATGGCTCATTAGCCTGATCACATGACTCAGGCCACATGCTAACAGGTGAACGTTAGCGGTGATGTCATCCACATGGAGAAACCAGAGGAAAATAAACAAGGCGGGACTGAATTCATGTCTGAAGGAACATTTCAGTTTCTCTGGATGAGCTGCTGAACTTTTGTTGTTTCAGATCATGATTATGATCCACAGCATGCTAACGGAGTTACTCTGCTAACCGAGTTACTCTCCTAACGGGGCTACTCTGCTAACGGGGCTACTCTGCTAACGGAGTTATTTTGCTAACGGAGTTATTCTGCTAACGGAGCTGCTCTGCTAACGGAGCTACTCTGCTAACGGAGCTACTCTGCTAACCAAGTTACTCTGCTAACGGAGCTGCTCTGCTAACGGGGCTGCTCTGCTAACGGGGCTGCTCTGCTAACGGAGCTACTCTGCTAACGGAGCTACTCTGCTAACGGATCTACTCTGCTAACGGATCTACTCTGCTA